AAAATATTTCCATGATGCTTGGAGAGGATGGAGTAGATGGGGGAAAGAGGGAAGGAAGGAAGGAAGGGAGAGGGAGAAAGACGATGAAGAAGAGGGGGAAGGGAGAAGGAGAGGGAGAAAGAGAATGAGGAAGAGGGGGAAGGGAGAAGGAGAGGGAGAATGAGGGGGAAAGGGAAATGGGTGACAGGGAGAGGGACAAGGAGGTGAAAGGGAGAGGGAGAATGAAAGGAGGAAGAAGAGGAAGAGGGCGAAGGAATAGGGAGATGAAGATAGGGGAGAGGAGGAGGAAGGAGGAAAGAGGGGATAGAGAGAATGGAAGGGCAAGGAAAACAAAAGGGGGACTTAAAAGGAACATTCCGATAACTGATAATCATCGTATCTTTTTGAGGGGAAGCGAAAGGAGAGAGAGGAGGAGAAAGGAGGCAGAAGAGGGAAAAGTAAAAGGGGGGAAGATAAAAAAAGTAATGGGGAGAATGAGAAAAGGAAGAAAGAGAGAGAGAGAGAAAGTGAAAGAGATAGAAAGAAACCGAAAAAACGAACGAGTGAAAATGAAAATTAGCGAAAAAAACAAGAGAGAGAGAGAGAGAGAGAGAGAGAGAGAGAGAGAGAGAGAGAGAGAGAGAGAGAGAGAGAGAGAGAGAGAGAGAGAGAGAGAGAGAGAGAGAGAGAGAGAGAACGAGAGAGACGGATAACGAGAGAGACAGAGAAAATACGTTAGCCATTAATCTCCCGTCCCCTCTTCCACACTTTCAGTCTCTGTCTTCCCCTCTTCTCTCCTCCTTTCTTTCTCACTCAAGAATCCAATCAGACAAGAGAGAGAGAGAGAGAGAGAGAGAGAGAGAGAGAGAGAGAGAGAGAGAGAGAGAGAGAGAGAGAGAGAGAGAGAGATAGATAGATAAAGAGACAGACAGAGAGACAGAGAGAGAAAGATCAAACGTCTTTATATAACGAGGAACTTCAGAGGCTAAATTCTCCAATACATTTTTTAAAAGATATCTTTCTTTGTATTTCATGTTTTTTTATCTTTCCTGAAATTTGAGAACGTACAGGACAGTAGATGGACGAGGGAAATGGAAGGTAGATGGATGAGTGGATGGGTGGATGGTAGACAGGTAGAAAGACTAGACAGATAGATAGATAGATAGATAGATATATAGATAGATAGATATAGACAAAGATTCCTAAAAAAGGATTGATACTCAAACGAGTGAAGTAAATGTATTCAGAATCAGTTTTTATCGAATAAATAGATAGTATACATAACAACAACATTAATAACAATAACAACAACAACAACAACAAAATCTTTCCCCTTATCACTCCTCTCTCTTATCTCCTCTAATCATCACTTCTTCCTCTATCTACGCGATTAGTCTCCCCTCTTCTCCCCTCTCTCTCTCTCCTTTTCTCTTCCTTTTCCCCTTCTTCCTGTTCATCGCGTCTTCTCTCATCCCTCATTCGTGACAGCCAGACAGCAGGTGACAAATCGCTTAAAATGAGAGAGTTATTGTTGTTATTTCTTCTCGTCCTGTTTATCTCTGTCCTTTTCTTCTTGTTCTTTGATTTTTCTTTTTCTCTTTCTGTTTTCCTTTTTTTCTGTTTTCTTTTTCTTCTTTTATTTTCTTCTTCTGTTTATTATCATCATCATCATTATTTTTATTATTGTTACTGTTATTATCATCATTATTATTACTATTCTTGATATGAAAAGGTGATAATATTATTATTACTACATCACTATGTTCGTTTACTCTCTCTCTCTCTCTCTCTCTCTCTCTCTCTCTCTCTCTCTCTCTCTCTCTCTCTCTCTCTCTCTCTCTCTCTCTCTCTCTTTTCCTCGTGCTCCTCCTCCTCACCCTTCTTGTTCTTATTCTCTTTCTCCTTTTCTCCATTCGTTCTTGTCTCCTCTTCCCAACCTCTTCCTTCTTATCTTATTCTTCCTTCTTATCTTTTTTTCTCCTCCTTTTTCTTCTCTTTCTCCTTCTCTTACTTTCTCACTCTTTCGTCTCGTTTTTTTGTTCACGCTTAATCCTCCTCATTTTTCCTTCCTTCCTCACTTCCTTCTCCTCTTTCTCCTTCGCCTTCTCCGGTTACTAACGGATAACGAATGGTTAGTGGAAAGAGGAAGCGAAAGGGGGGGAGGGGGAGAGGGGAAAAGAGGGAGGGGGAGGAGGAGGGGAGGAGGGGAAGGAAGGAAGAATGGGAGGAGGGAAGGAAGGGAAAAAAGAGGGGGGCGGGGGAGGATGGGAGGAGGGGAGAATAAAGGGAAAAAGAAGGGGGGAAAGGAGAAGGGAGGGAGAGGAAACGAGGGGGAGGGGGGTAGGAGGGAAGGAGGGGAGGACACGTGGATATGAGACGGTAGAGCATCTTGGCTCTTCTCTTCCCCCTACCCCCTCCCTCGGGTTTTGTCTCTCTCGCTTCTGCTTTCCCCTTGGTCTTCTTCCTATTTCCTTCCTTTTTTCCCCTTTAATCCTTCTCCCCCCCCCCTCTTCCCCTCCTTTCTCCCCCCCCCCCTCTCTTCTCCTCTCCCTCCCCCTCCTCCCCCTCCTACCTCAACCCCTCCCCCATCCAACCTCCTTTCCCCTCCTCCCCCTCCTACCTCCTTTCCCCCCCCCCATCTCTTCCTACCTCCTTCCCCCCCCCTTCCCCTCCTTCTGGTCGGTTACAGCGGGGGACAGGGCCACGCGCGACCGTTGAGGATGCACAGGAAGTGGGATCATCTGCGAGAAGGTGCGAATGGGGGAGGAAGAGGAAGGCGGATAAAAAAAAAGGGTTAGAGAATGGAAGGGAAGGGAAGGGGATGTGCATTTGCGTATATGTTGGAATGTATGTACATATGGCGCATGCACACACACACACACACACTCACACATGTATGCATACATACATACACACATGAATCTCTCTCTTTCTCTCTCTCTCTTTCTCTCTCTCTCTCTCTCTCTCTCTCTCTCTCTCTCTCTCTCTCTCTCTCTCTCTCTCTCTCTCTCTCTCTCTTCTCTCTCTCTCTCTCTCTCTCTCTCTTGTGGCTTAACGACTATGACCCTCCAACTACCATCTCACCCCCATCTCATTTCCCCTCTCCCCCTCTACCCCCCCCCCCCTTCGCCTCCTAATTACTGTCCCTTAAAGTGTCTCTCTTCTAATTATTCACGTGCCTTCGCGGCCGGGTGTGCTCGGCTCTCTCATCGCTCTCTCTGGCTCTTTCTGGCTCTCTGGCACTCTCTGGCTTCCTTTGCCTCCCTCTCTCTCTTTCTCTCTCTCTTTCTCTCTCTCTCTCTCTCTCTCTCTCTCTCTCTCTCTCTCTCTCTCTCTCTCTCTATATATATATATATATATAATATATATATATATATATATATATATTTATACATACACTCAAAATGGGCATTATATATATATATATATGTATATATATATATATATATATATATATATATATATATATATATATATATATATATATATATGTATATACATATATATATATATATATATATATATATATATATATGTATATACATATATATATATATATATATATATATATATATATATATATATATATATATATATATATATATATATATATATAATGTGTGTGTGTGTGTGTGTGTTATATTGTATTCATTGACGTATATTATTCTTTCATATATTTTCCCTCCTATCGTCTCCCCTTCATCACCATTTCTCTTCATTATGATATTTGTGTTTTTCATTAAGACTTCCTCCTCCTCGAGTGTTCTAATTATCCTTTGCCTTAATTTCTGTCTCCCCCCCCCCCCACGTGCCTCCAGTGACCCACCCCCCCTATCCCCCACCCCCCTCCTCCTCCTCTGTTTCCCCTTCTCGCCCCTCCCCTCTCCCCCCCCCCACCTCCTCCCTTCCTTCCGCCAGATGACTTAGCATCTGTTTGTTTCCCCGGTTTTCGTCTGTTTCTCTTTCCTTTTCCTTTGTTTCTTTTTTTTTTTTTTGGGGGGGGGGTTCTTTTCTTCCTCTTTCGGTTATTGTGTTTTTATTTTTAGTTTTTTTTTTCCTTTTTTCTTTCTTTCTTGCTCCTTGTATCTGTATTCTGCTATTTTGTTTTGTTTTTTGAGAGAAAGAGAAAGTGAGAGAGAGAGAGAGAGAGAGAGAGAAAGAGAGAGAGAGAGAGAGAGAGAGAGAGAGAGAGAAGGAGAAGGAGAAGGAGAGAGAGTGAAAGAGAAAGAGAAAGATGAAAAGAGAAAGAGAGGAAAAGAGAAAGATGAAGAGAGATAGAGAGGAAAAGAGAAAGAAAGAGATGAAGAAAAAGTGAACCAGAGGAAAAAAAGAGAAACGAAGATAATAAAGCTAAACAGAAACAAAAAAAAAAGAAAGAAAAGAAAGAAAAAAACAAAAAGCAAAAAACAAAAAAAAAGAAAAGAAAATTGGAGAACCCACAGAGAGAAAGAGCCTTAATAGCGCTTTCAACCACAGAACACCAGCCAGGCCCACCAGACTGACCTGTGCCGGGCGGGGGGGCGGGGGGAAACGGGGGGGGGAGGGTCAGAGGTCATATTACGCCGTGCCTTCCCCTCTCTCTGTGACCTTTATTTTTTCGATTATTTTTTATGACCTTTCACTTATGTACGAGGTTGTAAATCTCCGTATACATATATATATATTTTAATTTCTTCGTTTTTTAAGGCTGATCGTGTTTAATTTGTGATTTGTGTTTGTTATTAGTAGCATTATTGTTATTATTATTATTTATATTATTATTATTATCATTATTATGATCATGTTTATTATTTTTTTTATCATTGTCTACTTATTATTTTTCCCATCATAGTTATTATTATTACTCTTATAATATTATCATCATCATCACTAATTATCAATATCATTGTAATTATTATTGTCGTTGTTTGTCGATATCACGTAATTAAATTTATCCATATCTATTCATCAATGATATATATACTTATTCCTTTCAGACAATAGCAATTATACTAACAAATGATTTTCTCTCTCTGCCGCAGGTCAGCTGAAGCTAGCAGTGTACGAGAATTTCGGCCTTCTTACCATACACAGTAAGGGCGATATTGTGTTGTTGTGGAATGGATATAAAACTGGAAGAGGATTTTTTTTATGTATATATAATCTTTGCTTAATAAATATCATCTTCTTATTTGAAATAATAACTAGTAATATGAAAAGACACAACAAAGAAAGTATTAAAAAAAAATATATATACATAGATAGATAGGTAGATAGATAGATAGATAGATAGATAGATAGGCAGATAGATAGATAGATAGATAGATAGATATAAACGACAGTAGAACACTTCACAGAAAACAAATCTGAAAACTAGATTAATAGAAAACACCAATAAAAAAACAAAAAAAAAAGTCAGAAAATACCACTAAAACGAAAAGAGAAAATAAAAGTAATGATTAATCACCTGCTCTCCAAACCTTGACCTTTTTTTTCACTTCCGCGTGTCGCTTGTAAGTAACATTTTGAGGCGAGGTTTAGAAAGGCCAAATTGCGACTCTTCCTCTCCCCTCCCTTCCCCCCCCCCCCTCCCTCTCTTTTTTTTCTCCCCCTCATTCCTTCCTTCATTTACTAATCTGCTTGTTTATATCCTTGTCTCTTTGCTCATGTATCTGTTTACCCAATTATTGATATATTTACCCAATTATTTATCTATTTATCCGTCTGTTTATCTATTTACCCATCTGTCTATCTATTTACCCATGTATTTATCTATTTACCCATTGAGTTAATCTATTTACCCATTGAATGATCTATTTACCCATCTATTTACCTATTTACCCATCGAGTTATCTATTTACCCATCTATCTATCTATTTACCCATCTATCTATCTATTTACCCATCTATCTATCTATTTACCCATCGAGTTAATCTATTTACCCATCAATCTATCTATTTACCCACCAGTTTATCTCTTCATTTATGCGAATTTTCTCTCATTTCTCCTCTATTTTTTGCAGTTATCGAGGCAAGGAAGTTAAAGTCACGGTATTCTAGCGTGTGTAATCCGTATGTCAAGGTAAGTGTGTTTGTAGTATTTGTTTTCTTGTTTAACTAAACGTGTGAAAATAAAATCAAATTGCTGTTATTAGTGAGTGATGTGAAATATTGTTGGTGATTGTCATGGTTGTGGTTATTTTTATTCTTTCAGTTTCGTTGGTTTTATCATTATCGTCGTTATCATCGTCATTATTATTGTCATTATCGTCATCATCATCATTATCATAATCATTATCATTATCAATATCATCATCACCATTATCATTATTAACATCATCATCATCGTCACCATCATCATCATCATCATCATCATCATACTGTTTACTTAATCATTATGTTAATGCTCTTCTCCATTATTCATCTCTCTTGTTATCTTTCTTGCTCCCTTCATCCGTTCTTCCTTCTCTCTCTCTCTGTCTTCCTCTTTCACTCTCTTCCTCTCCTCTCGCTCTCTCCTTCTCTCCTTTCCTCCATCTCTTCCTCGCTTTATCTACGTCTTCCTTCCTCTTGCTTTTTCTCTCTTCCGCGCTTTCTCTTCGTTTCTTCTTTACCTTCTCTACGTCTCCTTTCCTCCTTATCTTTTCCTTTCCTTCCCTCCCTCTTTTCTTCTCCCTTCCTCCTTCTCTTTCCCTCTCTCCCTTCCTCTCCTATCCTCCCCTCCTCCCATTTTTAGCACAGTCTCCATTTTCATTATCCTCCTCCTCCTCCTCTTCCTCCTTTTCCTCCCTTTCCTCCTTTTCCTCCTCCTTGCGACCCGATCCTGACACGTTGAAAACATGTAACTCTGCCCCTCAGATTTATAATGTGATCTGACATCCTGTAAATCACCCGGGGGGGAGGAGGGGGGGAAGGTCACGTGACCAGGCGAGACTTCTCGGGTCGTTTGTCATGGTGTGGAGAACGAGGGGGGAGGGGAGGAGGAGGGACAAGGGGGGTGGAGGTGAGTTGTTAGTGTTGTCACTGTTGTTTTTTTGTTAGGGTATTTGGCACCATCTTCCACCATAGTCACTCACCATAATCACTCACCATAATCACTTACGGTCGCTGCCTCCTATCTCTCCCATTCTCGCTCCCAATTGCAACACCATACTCATCACCATACCCATTTGCCAACGCTTCTTTTTCCCTCCCACACACCTACTACTACCCCCCCCCCTCACCACCATACCTCTCACCGCCCCTCCCTCTTCCCCCCCCCTCCCACGCTCCTCTCACCACACTGACTCCCCTCCTCTCCCCCTCTCCCCCTCTCCCCTCCTCACCCCCCTCCTCTCCCCCTCCCCCTCCTCCCTCCTCCCCCCCTCTTCTCCCCCTCTTCTCCCCCTCCCAACCAACCCAACTGACCGCCCCCTCCTCCTACTCCTCTCCCCCCACAGATCTCCCTGGTGCCGGACTGCGTCGAGAGGACCTTCTGCCGCACGCCCCTCATCCGCGCCACCAACGCCCCGAGCTTCGACCAGAAATTCAGCTTCGATTTCCTCCCCGAAGACTTGGATAAGCGGCTCCTCATCTCGGTGTGGAGTCGGGATACCTTGAGGAAGTGAGTGTGTGGGAAGGGGTGTGTGTGTGGGAAGGGGGGGAGGGGGAAGGGGTGTGGGTGGGAAGGGGGAAGGGGGGAAGGGGTGTGTGGGAAGGGGGAGTGAGTGTGTGGGAGGGGGAGAAGTGAGTGTGTGGGAGGGGGGAAGTGAGTGTATATGTGGGTGTGTGTGTGTGTGGGTGTGTTGGGGTGTGGGGGATATAGGTAGGTGGTGGCATGGGGTTTTATATGGGTTGGGCGGGGTAGGGTGGTAGGTTGGTGGGTGGGGGGGGTGAGTGGATGGAAAATAGGTGGATTGAGGTAGAATATGGTTGGGTGGGGGGTATCCTATGGTTGAGATACTATATGGTTGAATGTCTAGCTTGAATGTGGTTGCAAGAACAAACTCAACTCCTCGTTATGTTGCCTATAATGGTTTATCAAGTTGAAAGGTGGTTAAATTTACATTTTCACCCCGACTCCTAAATCACCGCAATGTCTTTTAGTTTCCACCACTGCTTTCGCTCTCCCCTTCGCCTCCTATCTGCAAGAAAATGCTGATAGCACTGCATTATACAGGAAGTTTAATTAAGAAGCGAGGGGGGGGGGCGATTTGTCTGATGTCTCGTTGCCGATTTTAAATTGAATTCGAGAAGAGAAAGTTGCAGTTGTTGATTAGCAAAGAGTGAAAAGTGAATTAGTAATTAGGTAAAAAGGATAGTAAATAGGAAATATGTGCTTATATATATATATATATATATATATATATATATATATATATATATATATATATATAGAGAGAGAGAGAGAGAGAGAGAGAGAGAGAGAGAGAGAGAGAGAGAGAGAGAGAGAGAGAAAGAGAGGGAGGGAGAGGGAGAAGGAGAGGGAGAGGGAGCAGGAGAAGGAGAATAAGGAGGAGAGAGAGAGATTGAGATTGAAACTAATGCATGTATAATTATTCATTGCTCTAAGATAATAATTACATAAACCTGATGACATATATATGAGAAAAGTAATCACCATTATCTATATAAATAATCGCTTTCAAACTCGCGAATATCAACTTTCTTTGCCCTTGATTGTAAATGCATTATATTTAGCACACACCCTGCATTCGGCCTCCCCAATCCCTAATCTTTAAGCTAAGCTGACCTGCACCTTTCCTCTGTCTTCACTTTATTTATTATTATTATTATTAGTAGTAGTAGTATATAAATATTGTTATTATTATGATGATGAGGGTTATTATTATTATTATTGTTATTGTTATTATTATTGTTATTGTTATTATTATTGTTATTGTTATTGTTGTTATTATTGTTATTGTTATTATTATTGTTATTATTATTGTTATTGTTATTATTATTATTATTATTATTATTATTATTATTATTATTATTATTTATCCTTCAGAAGGAGCGAATTCCTTGGCTGTATGTCCTTCAGCGTCGCCCACATATCAAACAAGGTAAGTAAAACAATGTCTTTATTTTCTTTTGTTTTTGTTTTAGGAAGACAACAACTTCATTTCCTTTTTTATTTATCTTATGCCTTTATTTCCCTATTTGATTTGATTTGATTTAGTTATTCTTCGTCTCGTGTTGTTTTATTTTTATTATTTTATTTTGTGGTGTTTTATTTATTTAGTTAAAGAATACGCAAATTATGACTTTCTTAGTGTGTTTTGTTAGACAAAGAAAGGGATGGTGTGTTTAAAGGAATGCAATAAATAAGCAAATAAATACTTAGAGAAAGAAAAAAAAGTAGAGAATATTTAAAGATTATAATCATTATTGATAGATTCTCACGCCTTCGTATATTTTCCTTGACTTTTGCATATAAATGTATCAACACAGCAAGACAAACTCACACACAACACACTCGAATAACCACAACAAAAACAAAATCAATAACAGCAACAAAAACAACTTCAGAAATAAAAACCATAACAACAGCAACAAACTCAAACGTCAGCACCAATCCTCAAACAACAAGAAATCAACAACAAAACAACAACAAAAAACAACAAAACAACGAAACAAACAGTCAATAAAAAAAACAGTCACTTCAGAACTCCAAACTTCACTTCTGGGATTTCTTAAGAGAAGAGAGGGGGGGAGTGAGAAATAAAGAAAATCGAAAAACGAGAGAAAAATCATTCAGGCGATTCAAAACGACCCGAGGAGAGGAGAAAACGACCTCCCTTCCCCCCTACCCCCCTTCTCCCTCACACTGTAACGAGTTTCTTCCCGCCAGTCGTTGGGTTGTTGTTGTTGTTGTTTTTTTCTTGCTTCTTGTTTTTGTTCTCTGTCTGTCTGTCTCTCTCTCTCTTTCTCTTTCTCTTTCTCTTTCTCTTTCTCTCTCTCTTTCTCTCTCTCTCTTTCTCTCTTTCTCTCGCTGTCGGGAACCATAAAACAAGTAAACAATCACCCCCCCCCCCCCCAAAAAAAAAAAAAAAAAAAATCGAAGAAAATAATAAAAAAAAGAAATAAAAAGAAAAAGAAATTCGTGTTCAAAATGTGTCGCTCGGAACGACGTCACTTCCGGGAACAGTTGACTTTATTGTTCGCAAATTACGTCTTCTCCTTCTGTCCGTCCTTTTCAACGTGAAATAGAGCTGGATAAATAAAAGATGGAAAAGAAGTAGAAAAAGAAAAAAAAAAAAAAAAAAATGCGTTATGTAGGTAGCGTCGTTTCATTATTTGTAGGTTTGTATATGTATCTTCTGTCTCTCTTTCTCTTCTCCTTCTTTCTCTTCTCTGCCTCTCTTTCTCTTCTCTTCTCTTTCTCTTCTCTCTCTCTTTCTTTTTGTTTCTCTTCTCTCTCTTTCTCTTCTTTCTCTCTCCTTCTTTTCTCTTCTCTCTCTTTCTCTTCTTTCTCTCTCCTTCTTTTCTCTTCTCTTCTCTTCTCTTCTCATCTCTCTCTCTCTCTGACACACACAGACACACACACACACACACACACACACACACACACACACACACACACACACACACACACACACACACACACACACACACACACACACACACACACACACACACGAAAGTAAACATCTCAAACAATCGAAAGAAGGGGGAAGGGGGGGAGGGAGGGGGAGGGAGGAGAGGGGGGTTAAGGAAAGAGGGAATCCCACAAGCCTAGGAATGCGATAGAAAGATTGATTTTCTGCAGTGGCATTCTGTGTTTGCAAGGCCGTCGGTGGACTCGCATAGAAAACGGATACTATGGTGGTTCCGTTTTCTTTCACGCGGCTGTTCATTTTTTTTTTTTTTTTTTTTTTTTTTTTTTTCAAAATCCTTCTCTACTCGATGGCGCTTGACGTCGAGTTGGAGGGGCCTTTTCTATTAAATTTTCATTCATATTTGGCGTTTGATGTTTGTTCGTGGTGGTGGCTTGTGTATATTTTCGGGGGGAAAATAAAAAGAGGATAAACGGTATTTCAAGAGCGTGGAGTTGAAAGAAAAAATATATATGTATTAACGAAAGAATACAAAACGCACGAGATAATCGAAAGTACAACCTAAACTTTTTGAACAACATCACACCTCTGGTACCTCTTCATCACACGCCACGGTGACGATCTAACGCTTGGCAGTGTCGAGCGGAGTCCAAACCGAAGCCAGAGCCACGAGCGGGGATAAGGAGACGGACATCTCCGGCGAGGCAAGAGTAACCAGCAGCTTCCTCCGCAGTCAAGCCCCGGCCGGCACCTAGTGAACATTGGAGTGCGCGTCCCGTAGACTTTCGACTCCCCCGAGTGGACACCAACACAACGGAACATTTTTAAGTTCTAGAAAAAAAGACCTGTGTTCATTCTGATAAAAGTTCCTGATACGTGTATAGTATTTGTATATATATTTGTCTACGTTTGAGCGTTTTCTTTGTAGAGGAGAGATTTTTACGAGGAAAGAAGATTTGAATTGAAAACTGGAGCGGTTTTCACGTGAGCTGAATATTTATTGCCTGATATGATAACACACGGCATTTTCTACGATACTGCGAGATCCACATAATATCCCAGGAGAGAGGGATACCCACGTGTACTCAAAAGTTAACTAAAACGTCAAATGAACCGGTGAGGATAAACTGCCGCTCTCATGTGTAATCAGAAAAAAAAGTAAAAAAATAAAACAAAACAAAAACTAAACGGCATACTCGTACCCGATGACCCTTCCCTTCAAAAGCAATAATAATGAATAAACAAGATAAATCAAGGAAAGGATAACAAGCGAAGAGAAAACTGTGGTAATTACGTCACGAGAATTTAAAAAAATAAAACCCGAAAAGTAAATAGGCATCTCATCGTAGTCAGATAAGATAAGCCCGCACGCCCGCACGCCCACTCTCTGAATTCCTCTATTGCTCTGTCTATTTCTCTTTCGTACCGTTAATTCTACAATATCTCTCCTATATATACACATTATCATCATCTACTTCTCTATATCTCCTTTCTCTTTTGGGGGGAGAGCTCAAGACGACAAAGATAACGATGGAAATAAGCAAAATGAGAAGGAAATGATGATAACGACGACGATGAAGAAGACGACGACGATGACGAAGACGAAGACGAGGTGGTCGAGAGATTGAAAAGGTGTGGGGGGGTGGGGAGAGACGTGGGTCATGTGGAACGCGAAGGAAATCACCTGAAGGTCTCATTTCCGGGGATTCCCCAATATCCCCCCCTCTCTCTCTCTCCTCTCTCTTCCCTCTTCCCTCATATCCTCCCTCCTGCCTTGCCTTACCTTACCTCACCTCACCACCCCTTCCCTGTTTCTCCACCCCCCCCCCTCCCACCCACCCTTTGCTTATCCACTACCCCCTCCCTCCCAATTCCCTAACCCCTTTACCTCGTATTTCCCCTTCCCTCCCCCCCCTTTTCCCTGATAGTACCTTACCCCTTATCTCTGTCTTTACTCCCGTGTCCCTCTCCCCTTTTATCCCTATACCTGTTCTTCCTCTCC